ATAACTACCTTTTTGATGCTATTCATAGATTTAATGGAAGAAAGTTATTAGCCATGTGCTATAGTGTTCCGTCATCGCATTTCATCCGAAAATAAAACCGATGATTTTAATGAAAACATTTTAGCGAGATGAATGAGATTGGCCAAAACAAAAATAAATATTGGCAACCAAAGCGCGAATCCTGATGCGTTCGTCAGCTCTGTTGCTTTTTGCATGTTTTGTTTCGGCCCTGTTTTTACTTTGGCGCCGAGTTGTTTGGGTGATGCACTCGATTACAGAGTGAGAGGCAAAAATCTAAATTAGAAATAAGACAAGAAAGCTAGCCATCTATGGTAGTCTAGCCCACGGCCAACCCAGCTAGGTAATGGAAAATATCAAACGCGCTACTCAGGTCCTATTCAAACTAAGAGCAACTCGAATCTTCATATACAGTCGACGCACATCAGCTAAAAATGTGACACAATTGGCAGATAATGTTCTATCGGTCAAATATCATATCATCGTCATATTCCTAAGACACTGCTCTAACACCACAACCCGATGCGACGGGCATCGGTGATCTAGCTATCTCCACCGCTACGCCAACGAGCTTTGCTCCTCAAGCTCTCCTCCATGAGGCTACGGCACTGAGTTTCGCCTACCGTCATGGCCATGTCGAGCCGTTACCACCGAGAAGACAAGGCCTGACAACAGACGCGTGACGTCACACGAGTAGGCTGGCCAGCCGACAGCACTGCGTGCCGTACAATAGCGCTAGTAAATAATAGATGATTATTTCAGCATATTTAACACATTCTACTTGATGTAAATGACGGATAATTCAGAAATGTGTTTTTGGCATATGAAGGCAACTTGATAGAAACTATTAAAGTAGTTATTAACTATTTTCACGCTGATTTTCACTTTCATTCGACATTACGTGCACATTTAAGTAATAAGCTTACAATACTTTGCTAGAAATAATAAATTCTCCAATGACATACATAACCCAATGTTAGTCACAACTGATCAACAAATTTGACAGGAATATGTGGACAATTTACTATGATGATAGGCATCAAAAATGTAGCTGTTGAACAGTTGTGCCCAGCAAGCAAAAACAAGGAGGTCTGAGGTAAGCTCTTGCCAGGAAAGGAATAAGGAAAACAACAGAAAATATAACAAAGATTAACGAAAGCATGATAAAAATTTTGCTGTCCTTAGGAGTCTATATGTTTTTACCAAACCTGATACTGTGTCTATTACAAATGGATTGAATATCTTGAGAGCTAAATGAACATCATGTATTTCAAGTTTGTAGGATATAAAGCTTGTCGGGTCAAACCATTAGTATGTTTCAATATTTCATGACTTTTCATTTGATACAATGTTTTAAGAGATTTAAATGAAACAACACTAACCTCATGCATTTCAAAATCTGTCTATAAGATCAGAAAGAAAATCAGAACATGAAGCTGCGCAGGCCCCGAGTATATCTTACAAATTCGCCCTCATAGAGGTATAACTAATTTGATATGTCAACACCGCTCTTACCAGCCAGCATGGCGAAACGCCATAAGAATATGAACTGCTTACTTAGCGAGTCCACACAGCCTTTTCGCAGCTGAGTTGTTTGGCCTTATTATGCCGGGGGTAACGGTCGAGCTGCGTACATCCAGAACAGGCCGATATGACCGCTCCTTTGTCCCTAGGGTATCACGATTGTATAACAGTCTACCTGAGGTGGATATCAGTTCTACTAACCTTAGAGAG